GATTCATGATTTGAAAACCATTTTGTCTTTCGAAAAATCATACTAGCCAGGCACGGTAGCTGACGCCTGTAATCCCAGCACTTTGGGAGTCCGAGGCAGGTGGATTACGAAGTCAGGAATTCGAGACCAGCCGGACCAACATGATGAAACCCCGTCTCTACCACAAATACAAAAATTAGCTGGATGCGGTGGTGGATGCCTGTAATCCCAGCTACTCAGGAGGTTGAGGCAAGAGAATCGCTTGAACCCAGGAGGCAGAGCTTGCAGTGAGCCAAGATTGTGCCACTGCACTCCAGCCTGAGTGACAGAGCAAGACACTCTCTCAAAAAAAAGACGACCCATACTATTGGCCAGGTGCAGGGGCTTACGCTTGTAATTCCAGCACTCTGGGAGGCTGGCAGGAGGACAGCTTGAGACCAGGAATTCTAGACCAGCCTGGACAACATGGCAGAACCCCTATCTCTACAAAAAAAACAAAAATGAGCCAGGTGTGGTGACACACATCTGTACTTCCAGCTACTCAGGAGCTTGAGGTGGAAGGATTGCTTGAGCCTGGGAGGTCAAGGCTGCAGTGAGCAGTGATTGCACCACCGCACTCCAGCCTGGGCAGCAGAGTGAGACCTTGTCTCAAAAAAGGAAAACACCCAAACCCCTCCAAAAGCATAGAACTGCCTTTCCTGTTAGATACCTCCGCTGCTGTACATATTGCTCAGTTGTGACGACACGTCCCTCATGTTCCGTTTTGGATTCCCTGAGGTGCGGTCTATGGTGTGGTCCCGGACTCAGGAAGCCCATGAAGGAAGGAAGCGCACAGCTGCTGTGGCTGCATTGCCTGTCCACAAGGGGTTTCCAGCCAGACAGGTGAGCACCTACAGCGACGCCCTCCCATCCACGCCTGTCATCCTTCCTGCCCTGACTCCAGGTGAGGGCAAAGGGCCTCGGAATTACAGGTAAGTCGTCTTTTTTTTTTTTGAGATGGAGTTTCGCTCCTGTCACCCAGGCGGGAGTACAATGGCATGACTTCGGCTCACCACAACCTCCGCCTCTCAGGTTCAAATGATTCTCCTGCCTCAGCCTCCCAAGTAGCTAGGATCACAGGAATGTACCACCACGCCCAGCTAATTTGGTTTTTTGGGTTTTTTTGGGTTTTTTTTTAGTAGAGATGGGGTTTCTCCACGTTGGTCAGGCTGGTCTCGAACTCCTGACCTCAGTTGCTCCACCCACCTGGGCCTTCCAAAGTGCTGCGATTACAGGTGTGAGTCACCGCCCCTGGCCTCAGGTAAGTCTTCTTTACTCAGTCATTTATTCACTCACTTGGCTAATTCATTCATAAATTCCATTGCTGTAACTTAGTAATCCCAAATAACCTAAACTTCCACCTGCCATGCAATGCCCTCACCACACACCTTGCCTGGTCGGCTAATTCTTCTCAGGGATTTCCTATCCCTGTAATGCCATTAAAATGTCTAAACTAGGCCGCCTGCTTATAAAACAGCAAGTCAGAGTAAAAACAAAACTGGGCTTAGATCCAACGAATCACAACGGTCAAAAAAGAGGCTCGGCCGGGTGCAGTGGCTCACGCCTGTAATCCCAGCATTTTGGGAGGCTGAGGCGGGTGGATCACTTGAGGTCAGGAGTTTGAAACCAGTCTGGCCAACATGGTGAAACCCTGTCTCTACTAAAAATACAAAAACCTTAGCTGGGTGTGGTAGCAGGTGCCTGTAATCTCAGCTATTCGGGAGGCTGAGGCAGGAGAATTGCTTGAACCCGGAGGGCGGAGGTTGCAGTGAGCCAAGGCTGTGCCACTGCACTCCAGCCTGGGCAAGAAGAGTGAAACCCTATCTCAAAACAAACAAAGAACAACAACAAAACAGGCTAACAAAATGCCACGGCAGGGTATGACCTGAGAAGTCATTTCTGAGACAGGGGATGGGACCTGGGAACTGTCCAGCTCCTGAAAATATGTGACAGGAGACAGAAAAACTAAGAATCTCTATACAGCAGGACAATGTGCCTCTCGCTGTTGAGGAGACTGGGGGTGGACAATCAGGCTTGAGGCCAAGAAGCCTCTGGGAAAAGGCCCAGACTGCACTGCTGAGCCAGCCCGGGGGCTCACACGCCCCCAAATCCCCTCCCCCAGTGCTGTCCAGAAGGCCGCAGGCCACACCACTGCTGGGTGAGGTTGAGGAAACGCTGCCTTCTTGCATCACGTTCTAGCAACTAACGTAAAAAATGTAAATAATGTTATCGAAATTAGGATTTTATGTTGTTTCAATTCAAACAGAAATTCAGTTGTGGAATAAATAGCCAGGTGTGGTGGTTCACACCTGTAATCCCAGCTCTGTGGGAGGCTGAGGCAGGTGGATCACCTGAGGTCAGGATTTCGAGAGCAGCCTGGCCAACATGGTGAAACGGCATCTCTACTAAAAATACAAAAATTAGCTAGGCATGGTGGAGGGCGCCTGTAATCCCAGTTACTTGGGAGGCTGAGGCAGGAGAATTGCTTGAACCCAAGAGGCAGATGTTACAGTGAGCCAAGATCATACCACTGCACTCTAGGCTGGGCAACAGTGCAAGACTCCTCAAAAAAAGAAAAGAAAAAGAAATTATGTCCCACTAAAAGTAAAGGTAATGACATTTTGAACATAGGAAAATTTTCTCAGGCAGAGTTTTCCTTTTTTGACTTAAAATTTTTCCAAATGCAGCCCAGAGCATGGCATAATGATACCCACATACACAAAACAGATTTAACAGTTACTCATATGTTGCCATGTCTGCTTCATGTTTTCATATTATGAAATATTGTAATTTACAGATCTCACAAAATTTCACTCCTAAATACTTCAGTATACACCTATAAAAAAAAGTAAGCATGAAACTGGGGTGTGGTGGTGGGCACCTGTAGTCCCAGCTACTCAGGAGGCTGAGGCAGGAGCATCGCTTGAGCCTGGGAGGTCAACACTGCAGTGAGCAGTAATTGCACCACTGCACTCCAGCCTGGGCAACAGAATGAGACCCTGTGTCTAAAAACCAAAGTATGTATGGTTTCCTACAATAACATATGGTAGCTGACACGTTCAAAAAAACCCTGCATATCATCGAACATCGAATACTCAGGAAGAGTTTTCTTTTCTTTTCTTTTTTGTTTTTTTTTTTGTTGTTGTTTGTTTTTTTTTTTGAGGCCTAGTCTCGCTCTGTCACCAGGCCGGAGAGCAGTGGCGCAAACTCAGCTCACTGCAACCGCTGCCTCCTGGGTTTGAGCGATTCTCCTGCCTCAGCCTCCCAAATAGCTGGGATTACAGGCATCCGCCACCACGCCAGGTTAAGTTTTGCATTTTTAGTAGAGACGGGGTTTCATCATGTTGGCCAGGATGGTCTCCATCTGCTGACGTGATCCACCTGCCTCAGCCTCCCAATGTGCTGGGATTACAGGCGTAAGCCACTGTGCCCGGCCAGGAGGAGGTTTTCAGAAACCAATTAACCTCAGAAGGTGGGAGAAATGCCGGTCCACGAGGACACAGCCGTGGGAAATGATATTTACATGGCTAAGAATCTGAGTTTCCTGTGAGAAACAACAGAAAAAAAAATCCTCCTTGTACAAAGAGAGAAAATACGATTTTTTTCCATGAAACCATAGGTTGTGGGCAGTGTAAACCCAAAATTACACATGAGAGCTTCCCCAGAGCTCCGTGTGGGTGGAGAAATGTGTCCTAACTGCTGCCCTGCCTGCTCTCTTGGTACTGGGAACCTGTGAGAATTTCCAAGCCCGACACCCTGCGTCCCGGCTTTTCCCAACAGATGCAGAGCAGTGCGTGTGTAGCCCAGCTGGGCAGCACCCAAACGGCGAGACAGGCCACCAGCTCCCAGAGCTGGGCCATCCTGGCTCCTGAGGACCCTCTGGGGATGGCTCTGGTCAGTACAGCCCTTTCTTTCTCTGCTCTCACAGCCGTGGGGTGCACATGCTCTTTCTGAAGCACTGAGACTCCCCCAGCCGAGGCCAGCAGCCAGACTCAGCCATGTCCTCTCCCTCACTCCAAACTTCCTCCGCTCCTCAGTCTTCACAGCTCGTCCCAACATGGCCACCTGCCACCAGCAGACCACACTGGAGTCCTGTGCACTGCAGCTGCTCCCACAGACTCGTGCTCAACCCTCACTGTGGTCCTGGCTTTCAAGGCCATTGTGCCTGGGAGGAGACGGAGGTGTTGGCTGCTGTCAGGGCACTTGGGTCATTCCTATTTGCTCCTGATGCAGTGACTCTCCCCATGGGATCTCGCTGGGAACCTCTCTCCCACCCACTGCCAGAGACTCACATTCTGAGCCCAGACACAGCCTCCTCAGTCCTCGGGCATCACTGCCTGCCGGGGCACCCTAGGAAACCTGGGAGGCTTCAGTGTGACTTTGCTGGCCAGGATTCCGTCTGACACCTGCATGGAGGCAAGTCCCTGACGTTCAGCTGGAGTTCTGCAGGGCCTGGGTCACCTTCCTTCCCATCCACCAAGAGCAGGTCTCCACCGTGGCCCCTTGGGTGGGCTCCCAGGCTGCACTTTTGCCCCCAGGGCTACACCACCCTTCCCATAGGCTAAGTCCTGATAGGAACACCCTGCAGGGTGAGGGAATAAGAGAGGTTCCAGGTGCAAACAAAACATCAGCAGACACTAAGTTACCCCCTGTACAAAAAAAAATGTACCCTTTACCCTCCTGTTGAAAAAGTAAGCTCTGTGTGTTCTGCCATCACTTCAGAGAAACCAGCCCCTGAATTACCCATTTCAGAATCATGGCCCCCAGATGCATGGGGTGGACATGAGCAGAGGTTAGGGATGTCCTGACGCATCTGACCCTTGACTCCAGTGCCGTGCAGGGAGAAACGCAAGAGGTAGGCTTGGCTGCTGCCCTCCACCATCACAGCTGGTTAGTCGGCCTGATGCCGGAGCTCCACGGAGCCCTCTGACTGGAGGAACGCCGTCCCAGAACAGCTGTAAGGAACAGAGGTACTGAGACCACTTGTCAAACCAATGCCCCATTTTACTAAAAACCACATGTACATTACATTTTACAAAACAGTCCCTTCCTTAACCCCATAAAAGAATGGGGATATTTGGGGAGCTACAGAAACAGGTCCCCCTTCAAATGCTCAGGGCTACCTAGGCCTCCCCAGACCCCTGGTCCAGTGCAGGGCAGGGGCAGCAGAGCCTGCTCACTGCTCCCATCAGCCCAGGGTTCCTGGAGCCCGTCCGGAGCCCTCACTGCCTACCCAGGGCAAGAGGGACCACCTCGGGGGCCGGCCTCAGCTGGACTCACAGCCGCTCCCTGCCTGGGAGGGCTCCAGCCTCAGGAGGAGGAGTGCGGGAACCCATAGTGGTTGTGGTCAGCCTCGCCCAGGGTCACTGTCAGTGACAGGCTGGGCTTCTGTTCCAGCTCCTCCTCCTTCGGGCAGTGCTGTGGGGGTTGGGCTTTGAAGAGGTCTGAGATGTAGTGGACCTGGCAGAGTGGAGGAAGGTGAGACTGGGCAGGGACTGGGCAGGCACCAGGGACATGGGCATGAGCAGGAGGGGGAGGAACAGGGTCCCAGGTGGGCAATGAGAGGAAGAGTGCCTGTGGGGAAAGAGAGCCCTCTTAGTGGAGGACCAGTGGAGAGCACTGGGGTGCTGACGGGCCCAGGGAAGGGCTGCAGCGTGCAGGCAGGAGACCCAGGGAAGGAACTGGGGGAAGAAGGTGTCCAGGGAAGGACTGGGTTTGGGGAGAGGGGTCCCGGGGAGGAATGGGGGAAGGAGGGGTTCCATGAATGGACTGGGCTTGGGACAAAGGGTCCCAGGGTAGGATGTGGGGGGGGAAGGGATGGGTCCAGGGAAGGACTGGGGTTGGGGGAAGTAGTCTCAGCTGAGGAATGGGGGAAGGAGGGGTCCCAGGGATGGACTGGGGTTGGGGAAAAAGGTCCCAGGGGAGGAATGGGGGGAAGGGAGGGGCCCTCAGAAAGGACTGGGGTTGGGGGAAGAGGTCCCAGGGGAGAAGTGGGGAGAAGGGAGGGGTCCAGGGAAGAACTAGGGTTGGGGGAAGAGGTCTCAGAGGAGGATGTGGTGGGGGAGGGAGGGGTACAGGGATGGACTGGGGCTGGGGAATCCCAGAGGAGAAATGAGGGGGAAAAGGGGTCCCAGGGAAGGACTGCAGCTGGGGAGAAGCGGTCCCAGAGGATAACTGGGGGGAAGAGGGGTCCCAGGTATGGACTAGGGTTGGGGGAAGGGGTCCCAGGGAGGAATGTGGGGAAGGAGGGGGTCCCAGAAAGGACTGGGGTTGGGAGAAGGAGTCTCAGGGGAGGAATGGGGGAAGAGGGGTCCAGGGATGGACTCGTGTTGGGGAAGGAGTCTCAGGGGAGGATCTGGGGGTGAAGGAGAGGTCCAGGTAAGGACTGGAGTTTGGGGTAGGGGTCCGAGGGGAAAAACCGGGGGAAGAAGGGGTCCCAGGGAAGGACCACGGTTGGAGGAAGGAGTCCCAGGGGAGGACTGCGTGGGGCACGAGTGTGCAGGGAAGGACCAGGGTTGGGCAGGGAGTGGTCTCTGGACAGCACAGGGGATGAGTCAGGGTCAGAAGCTCACAGTGAGGCCAGCCACCAGCGCCCCCTGCAGGAGGCCAGCAAAGATGTCGCTCCAGTGGTGTTTGTGATCAGACACGCGGGTGTAGCCCACATAGAGGGCAAAGGCCACCAGGAAGAACTGGACCGTGGGCAGCAGCAGCTGCGTCCACTTCCAGCAGAGCTGCGCCTGCATGTAGAGCTGGGACGGGAGATGGCGCCTCAGACTGTGCCCTGCCAGGCACACCCACGCCCACTGCACAGATGGCAGCTCCAAGGCCGAGGGCACAAAACCAGCCAGCCCAGGGCCTCCTGTTTTTACAAACAAGTCGGTTTGCCCCCATCACCACCACGACCCACCCATTTTACAGCTGGAAAAACCAAGGTCCAGGGAAGGGAGTGACTTGACGGACGAGCCCCGGAAAACGGACTCACCGCCAGGAACACCACGCAGTACATCCCAAAGGAGGCGTGTCCTGAGTAGAAAGACAACCTGGGGAAGGAGAGGCAGCAGGTTGGCTGATAAATAGATAAACAAAATGTAGTGTGTCTCTACCACGGAATATTATTCATCTGTAGAAGAAATCAGATACTGACACACACTATGACATGAAAGAACTCTGTAAACATTGTGCTAAAGTGAAAAAAAAAAAAAAAAAAGCCAGCCACAAAAGATCACACATTGCACAATCCTGTTTATATAAGAGGTCCAGATTAGGCAACTCTATAGTGACAGATAATAGATCAGTGGTTGCCTATGGGAGCATAAGGTTATAGGGGAGTAGAAGCTAGTAGTAAAGAAATGTGGATTTCTCTATATGGTAATAAAAGCTTCTAAAATTGATTGGGGTAATAGGTGCACAGCTCCATGAATATTCTAAAAACCACCGAATTGCACACTTTAATAAATAAATTGTATGGTATGTGAAGTGCATTTCAATAAAGGTGTTATTTTAAAATACATATATATATATATATTGGTGGCCAGGCATAAGTGGCTCATACCTGCCTATAATCCCAGCACTTTGGGAGGCAGAGGCAGGAGAAACACTTGATTCCAGTAGTTCGAGACCATCCTAGGCAACATAGCATGACCCCATCTCTACAACAATAGATAAAAAATTTACCTCTGTGTGATGATGTATGTCTGTAATCCTAGCTACTTAAGAGGCTGAGATGGGAGTACTGCTTGAGCCCAGAAGAATGAAGCTACAGCAAACCATAATCACACCACTGCAATGCAGCCTGAGTGACAGAGCAAGTCTCTGTCTCTGTAAAGAAAAGGAAAGAAATGCAAGTTTTTAAAATTGATTTGTGAGAGTAACCAAGTTTGAGGAGAAACAGAAGAAAAAAGAGCACTGAATGGTGAGGGTAGTGGCTGGTTTGCCTCAGTTGCTAGCTAATTAATTGGCTTCTGAAAAATTTCTTACTAAAATCCCAGCTCTGGGGTTCAGTCATGCAGTCAAATGATAAACCCTAAATCCTTTACAAATGCTCATCATCTTTCTTTACATGCCTTCTAGTGAAAAATTATTAAGTGCCTAAATATCAAGTGGTCTGAAATGATATCAGCTGTTTATTAAAGAAATAACATCTCAGCCAGGTGAAGTGGCTCATGCCTGTAATCCCAGCACTTTGGGAGTCCAAGGCGGGCAAATCACCAGAGGGCAGGAGTTTGAGACCAGCTTAGAAAACATGGCAAAACCTCATCTCTACTAAAAATACAAAAATTAGCTGGGTTTGATGGTGCATGCCTGTAATCCCAGCTACTTGGGAGGCGGAGGTAGTGAATCTCTTGAACTCGGGACGTGGGGCTTGCAGTGAGCCAACATAGCACCACTGCGCTCCAGCCTGGGCAACAAGAGTGAAACTCCATCTCAGAAAAAAAGAAAAAACAAAAGAAATAACATCTCAATTTTTTTGTTTGTTTTTGAGATGGAGTCTTGCTCCATCACCCAGGCTGGAGTGCAGTGGTGTGGTTTTGACTCATTGCAACCTCCACCTCCCAGGTTCAAGTGATTCTTCTGCCTCAGCCTCCTGAGTAGCTGGGATTACAGGCACGTGCCACCATGCCCAGCTAATTTTTTATTTTAGGTAGAGACGGGGTTTTGCCATGTTGGTCAGGAGGATGTAGATCTCTTGACTTCATGATCCACCCTCCTTAGCCTCCCAAAGTGCTGGAATTATAAGCATGAGATTTTAATTATAAGCACTGCACCCAGCATTTAACATCTCAATTTTTGAAAACCATGAGTCAAATATTATTTTCCTTTTCTCATTTTACAGGTGTGCAACCTAAAGGACAGAAAACTTAAAGAATTTTCCTAAGTGGCAGAATGCAGATTTAAATTCTATCACTTTGGCCTCAGAGCTTGTGCTTTATTTTATTATGATAAATTCATCTTTTTTAAAACCAAGAGACTTACGCAAAATTCTGCTAGGATTTAAAAAAAAAAAAAAAAGCCTCTTCCTTTTCTTGACCATGGCTGCAGGCAGGGCTCACACTGCATTTTCTTTACTTATATATGTCCTGCTTGGATGAAGACATGACAGGGATCTCCTGTCATGTCCCCCTCTTATGAGCAGACCCCATAAGCATGGAGAGAAAGAAATACATTAGAGGGTGTTGTAGGAAATGCTTTCATTCCAGGCACTGCTGTTTAAACTACCCCTAAACTTTCTTTCCTTAAAAGAACAGAGAAAACAAAGAGGACAAAAGATGAAGAAACGTTCCACGTGACCCTCTGCATCCTTATTTGTTGTAATAAAGAAAAAGCATTTTAGGGATTTTTTTGAGTGCAGTTTGTAAGGTGATTCATGTTATTTATTTTCTGTTAATGATTTTCAAAATGTCAATTAAAAACATTCAGAAATTTAGCTTTATCACAGGCAGCTGTGCACATGTGAAGTTAGCTTGATTAACTTCATCTGTATAAACATATAGCTAGTGAACTGACATAACTGATAAACTGGAGAATCAACAGAAACATGCCAAAGACCGGCCCTTGTTTTCCATGGCGATCTCAATTTCAGGAATCTTTACATTACTCTCAGGGCTTCATGGTCTTTAGGGGACTGCAAAGCTATAAATTAAGCACAGAATTACTTTAGTATATTGTAGAAAAATACAGAAGAAGATGCTTTATAAGAGCAGAGTATAAACTCATACAGTTTGGTGATTTTCAAAGAAACCTGAAGAATTAAACTTGTAGTGTAGTCCTCCACAAGGGGCTCAACAAAGCCTTGGAAACATAAATGAAGTAGAATTGCACATGTGACACTTTTAGTAAATTTAAAAAAAAAAAAAGAAAGAAAAAGAAAAAAATGGTCCATTAAATAAAATACCTTAAAAAGCCAAGTAACTAACTGCAAGTCCCACAAAGACATTGGGCAATGATTCTGTATGATTTCAGGCATGCTGATAAAGAATGTCTTAATGTAGTAAAATATAATGAGAAGTACATGTAATTTCTTACCTTTAGTGTTTATTTTACTAGCCATTCCAGGAGGGAAGTAGCAAATAACTAGTTCAGGTCTAGAAAGAAAACCAAGAAATTTTTTACAGTAACCAGTACAATGGCAGTCTCACAGCTAGGAAAATGGTCAAGATATGACTAGGGATTTTTCCTAAAGGCATTTACAGAGTCATCCTGTAATGTAACAATAATTCCTATCATTGTGGACAAAAACTCGGACTTTTCCTTCCCATGACTGGCAAGTAATTATTTAAAAAGTAAATTACTTCTTTCATAAAGAAAAACAAAATTAACACTAGTGTACATTCTTTAGTCACTAAAATTCTGCAGAAACCCGGATATAATAAGAAACTCAATTATCCTACCAGGTGTGGTGGCTCACACCTATAATCCCAGCACTTTGGGAGGCCAAGGTGGGTGGGTCACATGAGGTCAGGAGTTTGAGACCAGCCTGACCAACTTGATGAAACCCGGTCTCTACTAAAAATACATAAATTAGCCAGATGTGGTGGTGCATGCCTGTGATCCCAGCTACTTGGGAGGCTGAAGCAGGAGAATCACTTGAACCCAAAAAACCAAGGTTGCAGTGAGCTGAGATTGCACCACTACACTTCAGACTGGGCAATAGAGCAAAACTCCATCTCTCTCTCTCTCTCTCTCTCTCTCTCTCTCTCTCTCTC